TGTGGCTACTAATGGTAAAAATGCCAAGACAGGCAAGAAAATAGATGTGTGGTCCCATTGTCCTGAGCAGGAGCAACGTCTAGAAGCCTTCCCACTGGGAGTCAGGGACAGACCTGCATAGAACAAGGTTATGTAATCCTTTTAGGACTATGGGACCATTTGACCTAGATTGCTTGGGGAAAGTTTTATCTCCTTGAACCTCAGTTTTACCAGCAAGAAAATGGGGTACATTACTCCTCACTTGATTCTCAGCATGACAAAGAATGAGATCAGGCACAAATGTGTGGGTCAGTAACAGGCACTGTCATGGAACTGTAGCTGGTTGGGACCCAGAGGAAGGCTGAGGTTTGGTGATACAGTGCCCCACCAGGGTCACTCATGCATTTCTCCTTCTCAAAGCCAGCTGTTTGTGCTGTCATCTTCTTGAGTGGATGGAAGACCCTAGGAAGAAATCATGTGTTCCCTCACCTGAGAGGAAAAATTAATTTTCCTTCGAGTAACTCCAGTTCAGTTCTGTTAATGGTCTCTCCTGGTAGCAGTTGTTCCTCATTGCTTTTTTAAGTCTGGTCTCTTACCAACAGCCCTGAAAGACAACTGCATTTTTTTGCCTAAAAGACCGAATTTCAACACTGAGCTTTCACAAACAACTCTGCTTCCATCTGTAACTGGAAATTGTCCCCTTTTCGCAGGATGATGACCTGTTCTTTATGGCATAAGGCGGTTGTTAAAAGCAGACCTTAACAATGCTGTTAACGGCAATGAGGGAGCAAAGGTCCTATTGCAGGGTGTGGCAATGTTTGCGTTGCCCACAGGACACAGCTTTCCTGTGTGTAATATATCCTCAGAGATCATTTATACGTGCTTGTGGGGAATGAATTCACTGTTGTTAAACATGCAAGAGAAAATGCCTCAAGAAAGACACGAGAAATGAAGGCATGGAGGGGCTCCCAGGACACTTTGAGAAATAAAAGCCAAAGACCTCCTTTTTCTTCGCTCCCGGCCTAGCTGGTTAGCCTAGACTTGGCTGATCTGGAGCTTAACTCAAAGGCAGAATCCAGTTGTTCTACTTAAAGTGACACTTACACCTCCCCACTCCCACACAAGCAATCCACATGTAGCATAAGTACAGGGGCTTACAAAAACTCAGCTTGTTCTCTAATATTCTATTTTAATTCTGATACATTGTCCAATGCATTACAATTAAAGGCACTTGTGTGGTTGTTTTGAATGTGCAGGATAATATTTGCCATGGGCACACTGAATATTTCCAATAAATGTTATCTAGTTTTATTAATATATATTTATTACTCATTTCCCTTTACATCCCCACTATTGTGTTAAGCATTTTCTATAATAATAACACTATCTTAGCCAGGAGTGGTGGAGTATGCCTATAACCCCAGCACTAGGCAGGCTGAGGTAGGAGGATCATTGCAAGTTAGAGACCAGCTTGGGCTACAAAGTGAGCTCAAGCCCAGCCTGAATCGCACAGAGACCCTGTCTCAAAAAGACCAAAAAAAAAAAAGCCAACAAACAATAACACTGCCTAAGATATATCAGCAAGTCACTGAACTTTTTGATACACATTCAATTATGTGAGAATAATTCAGTTAGAATTCCCAGTGACCAAGGGAGTAAGAGTTGTTATTATTCCACTTTACAGATAAGAAAACAGCTAAGTAATTTGACTCATTCCTGAGTATGTCACCTATCCAACCAAGACAGGGTGCTGGCTTGGCAGACTCCCTGTTTCCTATTGGTGGGTTTTCAGACTACCTGGAAAGTGAGCTCACCTCGGTAGTTGTGTTGTTCTTAAAACAGGAAGGGCTGCATTTTGTTTGGACATCAGGGAAGGAACCGGCACCTTAGAGCCAATGAACAGTACAGAAGAACTGATACTGGTGACAGGGTGCTGAATTCAATGTGCGGTTTCTGTGCCCTGACTTGGTGGAACCGACCTCTTCTCGTGCAATGCGATGGGGCAGGAGCTTGAGTCGCTGCCTGCCTCACCAGGATGCAGGATCCATTGACCACTTCTCGGTGGCATTCAATTCATTACTCCCTCCCTTCTTTAAATACTTCCTCTCTCGGCTCCAGAATGCTCTACTGCCTCAATTTCCTCCCTACAACACTGGTCACTCTTCATTCCTTTTGCAAAATCCTCCTGCTCTTTCTGGTCCCTGGAAGAGACTCAGAGCTTCTCCTACACATTTGGCATCATGCTTTTACTGCCAGCTTAACACAAATGACTCTCAGATTCATGTCTTCAGCCTTAACTCTTCCCTAGACTCGGGGAGCAGCTCAATATGGATGTCTAGTAACTCTCTCAAAATTAACGAGATCATAGGAGACCTCTTCATTTTCTCTCAGGTATTGATTACATACTACCATGTAATGAGCTATCTCAAAACTTTGCGACTAAAAGCAACAGTGAACATTTATCGTCACACCTAATTTCCGGGGTCAGGGCTATTGCATTAGCTACCAATTGCTGTGTAATAAATGGAATCACAAAACTAAAAGTATTGTTATCCAACAAATCACCCCCCCAAACCTAAAATAACAAACGTTTACTTTTTTCCGTCTCTGTACAGCAGAAACACTGGAGGGCTGTCTTGCACTGGCGTTGCTCAAGGTTCAGTCAAGGTGTTGGCCAGGGATACAGTCATTTGAAGGCTGATCTTGGGCTGGAGGATTCACTTCTGGGATTGTTCACATTGTCATTGGCTGAAGGATTCAGTTTCTGGCTGGCTTTTGTCAGGACTTCCATTCCTTGCTTCATGCATCTCTACATAGGACTCTTGAGTGCCCTCATGGCATGGCAGCTAGAGAGTGCCAGAGTAAAGACACTACAAACAGGTTTTGACTTAGCAAAAAAAAAAGAGACTTATTGTTACTTCTGCTGTGTTTTTTGGTGACTCAGGTCAACCCTGATGCACTGTGGGAGGAGACTACAAAGAGTATGAATGGTGAAAATCAAGGAACATCCGGAGCCACCTTGTGGGCTGATTATGTGTCCCACATTCCTCCCTTAAGGGTCTGCATCTCATCAAATGGCCTGTTGTTGCTCAGGTCAAAATCCTGGCATCATCACTGATCCCCCCTTTCAAATTCTTACCCACCCCATCAGGAACTCCTTTCTCTTATCTTCTATCCTTAGCCTTATCCCATCATTTCTCAGCCCATCTACAGAAGCCGCCATAAGCTCAGCCCACACTGACTGTAGTAAGCTCATGGATGCTCTTGTTTCCACCCCTGCCTCTGACATCTCTTCCACAGGAGCCAAGCATACACTAGCCTCATCACTCCTCTCTGCCTGGCAACTTCCAGTGGCTCCCAGCTCACTCAGAGAAAAAGCCAGCATTCATGCCAAGGTGCCCATCGTGCGCCCCTGTACTGTATTCTGTCCACTACTTGAGCTTTCCTACCCCCTCTCTTCTGGTACATCTTGCTTGATGTCACTCTGCCTTGTCATACAGCTTACTCTCAGGGCAGCAGGTTTCTGCCATCATAGTGCCCCTCGGAGAGACACACAGAGACCAGCCTACCCAAGATGGCCACCATTAACCTCAGCCCTTTCACTCTATTTCATTTTTCTTTGCCCCACTTAGGAATGGAGCACACACTATGTACTTGTTGGTTTTCTTGTTTGTCATCTGTCTTCTGATCTAGAATATAAACTTCAAGAAAACAGAGATACCATCTATTTTGATTCTTGGTGGCCCCTTCCTCAACACCTGAAATGGTGAATAATACATAGTAGTTACTCACTTAAATGAATTTACTAATGAAAACAGTCATTTCATTCAGAACAGTGCTGTCCAGAGGATCTTGCTGCAGTGGTGAGAATATTCTGTATGAGTGCTGTCTGGTGTGGTGGTTGCTAACTGCTAAAAATGTGGCTAGTATGACTGAGGAACTGAATTTGTATTAATTTTATTTTCATTGACTTTACACTGCAATATGTGACCAGTAGCTTAGACCACAGCCAGGTCCTCAGGGTAGATGGAAAGGATAGAGTTTTGGACTGATGTAATTTCCACAGAAATTCGAAACATCCCAGCAGAAAGAGGCTTCTTAAGGTACTGAGTTAGGAAAAAGCCTCAGGCCTAATCAGTCTTTTTTGGATGCCGTCTATCCAGCCAGCACTGTCTTTTCATCTGATCGTACAATGCAGAGAGCACTGATTCAATAGCGCTTTCTGGCCTGAATAAGGAGGTAAACATGGTGTGATGTGGCACATATAATGTCTCTGACCTCTGTCACTCCAAGGGTGCCCAGAGCTCATTCCTGATCCTTTCCAGGACATGATTTTTGGCACCTATACCTAGAATCATACAAGAATGCTCCCCTGTCCAGCACCCTGTGTCCCTAGTCTGCCTGCTGTCCCAGTTTCCTCCACTATATTCCTTCAGTCCAATCCTCAAAACCAGAGTGGAACCTTTTTTGCTTGGATCCCTTTGACAATGGCCAACTGTCGTTTTCACCCACACACAAACACACACACTTGCAGATTTTGGTTATTCTTAATTAGGTTTGTACTTATTTGGTGAGGATGTTGCATTTATTTATGACCCACACTGAAGCAAGAGCTACTTACTTTAGCACTGGGAACCATATGTACAGATAGATGTGCTATTGTATGTGTGTGGATGGTGCACTCCACCTTTACGTATGTGAGTTCAGATACAAAGGAAAAGGCCTCCCACCTTTGATTATCTCTCCTCCCGCTGCTGACTGAAGACTGATATCCTTTATGAAGGATGGGGTCTTCATTTCCTTACTAAGAAAATAGGCCTTATGTACCCCTTGGATAAGGCCCACTGAATTAGAACTCCTCTGTGGTACACATGGGTGAGAGACTCTTCCAAGGAGTGGCCAATCCTGTAGGTGCCCCACCACAGTCTTTTATCACTTGTTGTTGATTGTCATTCTGCCAGGAAGAAGTTTCAGATCAGATCCAGTATGTGAATATTGTCCATCCACGTCTGTCTTCCCAGGTGGACTACGATCGAGCACAGATGGTCCTCAGTCCTCCACTGTCTGGGTCCGACACCTACCCCAGGGGCCCCGCCAAACTACCTCAAAGTCAAAGCAAAGCAGGCTATTGCTCAAGCAGCCACCAGTATCCTTCTGGGTACCACAAAGCCAGCCTGTACCACCACCCTTCCCTGCAGACCAGTTCACAGTACATCTCCACCGCCTCCTACCTGAGCTCTCTCAGCATCTCATCCAGCACCTACCCGCCACCCAGCTGGGGCTCCTCCTCAGACCAGCAGCCCTCCAGGGTTTCCCATGAACAGTTCCGGGCTGCCCTACAGCTGGTGGTCAGCCCAGGAGACCCGAGGGAATACTTGGATAACTTCATCAAAATCGGGGAAGGGTCAACAGGCATTGTGTGCATTGCAACTGAAAAACACACAGGGAAACAGGTGGCAGTGAAGAAAATGGACCTCCGGAAGCAGCAGAGACGAGAACTGCTTTTCAATGAGGTATGTGATGGGATGGCATCATCTTTTCTCTCCAGCATTGCATTTATTTCTCTTTTCAAAAATAGTACATGTGTGTTTTAGGACATTAGAAATGCTTTGAAAATATAAAGACAAATGTGGCATCCTCTGTAATCTTTCCTTCTAGTCTTGTTTTATGCATTTACTATTCCAGCAGTACTTTCACAAAATACTTCATGTGTATCCATCACTATGCCAAGCATTAATCCAGCATGACCTCAATACAATAATCCTAGGAAGCATAAAGGTGTTTAGCAAGGAGAAAACCTGCTCTCAGGTAGTTTGTGTGAGTTGCCCAGGATCATACAGCAAGTTTTCTACAGAGCTGGGGTTTGGATCCCTGTTTTGCAGATTCCAAACCTTATGCTGCACTGTATCTCTGTGGGTTGTCATCATCCCCAATATCTGCAGGGGATGGATTTCAGGACTGGTGCAATTCCAAAATCTGTGAATGCTCAAATCTTTTCTATCAAATGGAATCTATACACATTCTGCTGTATGATTTAAGTCATCTCCAAATTTCTTACAATACTTAATAGAGTGTAAATGCTGTGGAGACAGTTGTTATATCACATCTTTTAGGAAATAATGACAAGAAAAAGGTCTGTGCATATTCAGTACAGATGCTTTGGCAGGGGGATAATTAATACAGGGTCTCTCTAATAGTTCAGGCTGGCCTTAAACTCATATGTACCCCAGGCTGGCCTCAACTGACAGCAATCATCCTGCCTCAGCCTCCCAAGTGATAGGAGTACAGGTGTGCACCACCACACCTGGCAGAGGCATTTGACTGGCTGAATCCACGGATATGGAATTCATGTATACAGAGGAGCAGATATATACCCATTTCACATTGTTGTGATACCATTTATACTCTTTGTAGCCAATTTTTTAATACAACAGACAGAGATGAGCTTACCAATATCCTAACTCTCACTCTTTAAGAACTTTAAAATATTCTTTCTTAGCTATAAAAATAGTGACTTCTTCCTGAAAACATAAGAAAATGTTTCACATAACACCACAAACAAGTAATACCCTACATTAATGTTTTACTGTTTTTTCTATATTTTTACTTATATGTCTCTTTTCTCTGAGATATTTCTATATATGTAGCTTAAATTGAAGAATGAATTTTAGGAAGAAAGAAGGTTAAAACTAGAATATATTTATTGGGGTAAAGAAAGCTTCTGTGGGAGAGACAGAATGAGTCCCTAGTGGGTTGCCAAGGAACCCAATTTTCTAGGGATTTTTATAGAGCAAAGCCACAATGTGAGGCAGGTCCAAGGTGGGAAACACGGGAACTTGCAAAGTGGGCATGAGGTGGGACAACACTACAGTCAGCCAATAAGATTACTAGTGTAATTGCTCAGGTAAAATTGATTAAATCAAGATCAAATGTGGAAGCTAGCCACACAGGAAGCAGGCATGAATACAAAACAAGAGCTTTTCCTGTAGGGGGTTGGGCTTGGGACTCTTTCAGGCTTTTTCAAGGTGATCGCTACCTATTTAGAATATTAATCCCTGATGTCCGTCCCTAGGGAGGTGTGTGGGTGCATTTGTTTCATCTTTTGTCTTGCAGTCTGGCCAGCAGTGGAAGTTCCTGCCTCTCCCACAGTTGCAAGGTATATTGTGTTTCATGCTGGCTCCTTGGAGGGCCCAGCCCTGACTCACTGCCAAAAATAGTTCTGTCTAACTCAGCTGCCTGCAACATTATGGAACCCTTTTTTGGTATATTTGTTCCATATATTCTTCCATTTTCTCATTTATCTTTTTCAACTTATCACAGAAGCGCTCTAAAATACACAAGAAAACATCAGTGACTATATCAGGAATCACAAGCCCTCCAGTATTAAGGGTATTCATATACCTTTAGTAATTTTATAAGAGCATTGAGAGACAGATGAATTTTTGTGGATGGGAAATTGAAATCCTGACGATCTCAAGTTAGGATGTCAAGATGTCAGTCTCCACACCTTGTAATTCACCAAAGGATGTGCAGCTGTCTGGCCCCTCTGCCTTCGTATTGTGAGCATGCTCATTTCCTCGAAGGTCCACTGACGCTCTGTGAGTGTTCTGCCCCATCGTTTTGAAGGTCTTCCTCGGAGGCTCAGGTGCAGCCCCTACAGGGCTCCCCCATCTCCAGCTCAGTAGTTGCTCATTTCTTATGCCTGCTCCCATTCTCACAGAGTTCTGTAGCTCAGTGGGCTTCACCAGTATCTTCTCTGTCTGCTATTCTTGATTTCTGAGATTTATTCTTAGACCACAGTACTGGAACACACAGGGCGATATGGTGCAGATTCATTATTTAACACTAACTCTGAGAAAAGTAGATTGATGAAGCCACAGGGCAGCTATACCTGGTCACTTTCTCCAACAACAAGTTCAAGTTAGCCTTTATTACGCCTACATCCTAGTTCATTTTACCTTCCAAATATATTTGTATTCAGACCAAACCACCTTCAGATTTAACTCATGCCATTTTCCAAGGAGTTAACTTAGTTCTCATGTGCCCCTGCTTTTAATATCAATTTGCTTCATTCACTTATGGGACTCCTACTTACTTTCCAGGAGTTGGTGACTCTTTGTTAGGCTAATCCACAATGGGATGTGGCAATTGCATTTAAAAGGAGACCCTCAGGGTCACATCCTCCAGAACTGCCTGTCTTTGACAGCAAACCTTGCCTCTGTGTTCTATATATGTTCCTCTCTCTCTCTGTCTCCCTCTCTCTCTCTCTCTGCCTCTCTCCCTTTCTCCCCTCCCTTTCCAATGTTTTCTCACAGCTCTACTAAATTGATTGCTTTTATTCCTAGTTACCCTTGATGCCTTTTTGCTGTATTAGATAAATCCTGTCACAATCAGTACCTCTCAGTCAATTATACTTAAGTGTAGGTGTACCCATTCGAGAACAAGCAGCCAAGTTTCTCTGTCACGAGTCACAAGGTATCTTTCTCATGTGCGCAGGTTGTGATCATGCGGGATTACCACCACGACAATGTGGTCGACATGTACAACAGCTACCTTGTTGGTGATGAGCTCTGGGTGGTCATGGAGTTTCTAGAAGGTGGTGCCTTGACAGACATCGTGACTCATACCAGGTAAGTTCCTTTATTATCTAAGACAGATTATCCAAGATGCTTATTATTCTAATCAGGATATGGCCTCAGTGACTATCTTCATAAACTCTTCATAAATTGTAAGCACTTTGGAGTCAGGGGACACAATTTTCTTTGTCTTGTATACCCCAGGGTTCCCATTATAATATCATTCATGTATAGTCTATTTATCTAATGAATATTCATCCAACTTCAGAAGGTGATAAATACCTAATTATTCATTGACGGTTTTATCTTTTTTATGGTGCTGGTGATCCAAGCCAGAGCTTGCTCTTCCTAAACACGTGCCCTATCGCTAAGCCACACCACACTCCCCACATTGATTTGAAATCCCTAAGCTGCTAAGAATGAAGTTTCAGTGAACAGAACTAGAGCTTTCCATTCCCTACATAGATTTATTCTAAAAGAGAGTTTTGTTCTTTGAGTTAAAGTACTACTTCCACACTCTCATACCATCCCAGGTACCTGGGAAAGATGAGGCAGGTAAAGGATCAAAGTTCCATGTCAGGATAACTGACCTCATCAGAGAGAGAAGTTCTTCATTTTGTTAAAGAACTGAAGGTGCTTGGATGAATGAGGAGTTCTCTGTAAGAGTTTATGGAAGTGCGTTTACATCAATGACACAAACGCTGACAAGTGGCATCTCTTTCCTTTGATATGTGATGGGTTCCTGTTTTTACCACCAATGCTTATGCTCTGGGATTCACATCCCAAGGACTTCCTTTTCTGGCCTTTTGACTTTCCAAATATGGACTGGCATGAAGTACTTTTTGCCAGAACCCAAGAAAGTGGCCTCTTTTGAGCATTACAAAGATGTTCTTAAACCTGTCTTATTCCTTAAATGTCATTTTCTCTCTAGAATGAATGAAGAGCAGATAGCCACTGTCTGTCTGTCAGTTCTGAGAGCCCTTTCCTATCTTCACAACCAAGGAGTGATTCACAGGGACATCAAGAGTGACTCCATCCTCCTGACTAGTGACGGCCGGGTGAGTCTACAGGCTCCCTTCCTCTGACATGGGCATTGTTCTCTTAAGAACACTTTCTCATGGTTCCAATTTCTCTTAGTCACAAGTCACCCACTGTACTTCCCAGAAGACTTACAGAAGGGAAATTGCCTTCCCATCCTCTGTATCATCCTGTTAGTCAGAATTACCTGCGACCTGAATTTGATGGATAATGTGCTTCCTTTCCAGTGAGTGCAGGAAGTAATGGAAACTACAGAAATTTCTTTTCTTTTCCTGCCACATTCCTATTTTTGGAGCTGCCTTTCAGGTCTGTGTCTACCTCTTCTTGCAAATGTGCTCAAATGTCCTCAGTATCTCTGGAGTCCCTGCAACAGACAGGGGACCAACTCCACATGGGTCATTAGAGGAGAGTTTATTAAAGGTACAGTTGACAGAAGTATGGGCAGATGCAGATAAATCATAAGGAATGGGGCAAAAGGAGGAGTGTGGTTCTGTAGAGCAGCACTCCATTCTCACTGCCCCATGCCTGAACAGGTGAGGGGCAAGCTGCTGCTGGGATCCAGTAACAGAGACTGTCACTGTGTTCAGGGCTGCCTGGAAAGAGCTCTGATCTTCCACGGAGGTTGGACCATGGAGAATCTGCAGGATGGAGCTGGGAATCAACACCTCAGCCTCACCTTGCTCCTAGCTTCCTAGTCCTGATGTTCCCTACTGGTTCACCCCAGCTAGAAGCCATCGCAATGCCAGTTAGTCCCCAAGGTTCAGAGAAAGGGAAACAAATCTGAAAGGCTAAGCAGCAGATGTCTATTACCTTAGCGTAACTCCAGGCCCAGACTTCTGTGCTTCTCATCAGTGCAACCTGTGCAAGGGATTGTGTTAAAACTCAGAAGCCGCATGAGGGCACCCAACATACAACAGCCAGGGATGCGACAGGTTAAGCTTAGGCAGGAGAGTTTTGGCACATAGTCCCTTTCACCCTTTTAATTATCCTGGAAGTCCCATTAAAGGTAATGGCCCTGGGATGAATGAAGTCAGCCATCCTTTGCTGTTCCTGTCTTTTATAATCCAGCAACTGCAGCCATATGGAAAATACTTATGTCTCATCAGAATTGCCAGGCATGATCGGAGGGCAGCAGGAAGAAACGGCCAAAGCACTTGTAAAGTTTATTGCAGGAAATGTAGTGAATTCAGAAAAGTATAGATGATAAAATAAAGATCACTTATAATCCTGTTACCTATTGCCCCCATTTTTTTCATGTACCATTTGTACATAATTTGCAGATTTGGGATTGTAATTAATGAGAGGTTTAAGTCCCATCTTTTGCATTACCTGTGGCAAAAGTTTTCTTTGAATAGAGGGGTGTGGGAGTGTATGGCAGTCAGGTTTTGCTGCATCACAAACCACTCCAAACTCAGTGGAATAAAACAACTACCACTTATTTGCTCACAAATCTGTGGATCAGCATCTTGGGTTGATGGCAGTCAGAACAACTGGTCTCCGCTGCATGAGGCACCAGCTACGCTCTCTTGCATTTGTGACCAGCCTACAGCTGATGTCACACTTGCTTGCCTGGAAGTCAGCTAGCTCTCGGCAGGGCCAACAACACAACTGAGCCAAGTGTCACTTATCTCTCAGTAGAGTAGCCCTGGCTTAGTCACATGGTGCTGGTGGCAAAGTTCCCAAGAGTAACAAGAGAGGAAAGCCCCAATACACAACCCTTTTGAGCCCTCTGTTTATGTCAGGTTTGCTAAAGTAAGTCAACCACACGACCAAGCTCAGATTCCAGGCGTGGGGAATAGATTCTACCTCTTCATGGGAGAAAAGGCAGTCACATGCAAAGAAATGTAGATGAAGAGGAGAAGAATTTGTGCCATTTTTGTATCATCATCCATAGAACAATTGAAGCCTGGGAAAAGGTCAGTAATTCTCCCTGGTCTGACTCAGCTCCTTGGTGAGACTCCCAAAGCCTCAGAATAGAGTTTATACTGAACAGGCCCCAGAACTAGCTCTGAGGACTGGTACTTTCAGGGAAAAAGAAAAGCAAGTCAATTTCTGGCCCAGATTTCTTTTCTCTGTGTCTTAAGATTGATGATGCAGGCTTCTTTGCTAGAAGTACATATCTGATGTCAACATCAGACAGATGACTAAGACAAAATGTTAAGTCACTTAGAGACCTTCCCTTCCCTCAGTATGCAAGATTATAAAATCATTCCACTGTCATTGTCAAGGGCAGGATTTTTGTCCCAAACAACTCCTCCATGTCTGTGCACCCGGCAAAGAGTTTACAAGCACAGGCTCACTGAATGGGCCTTTAGTTCTTGTGGTTTGTTCACAAATTTGTCTCACAAATATCTGTTTTTGTTTGTTTTTTTCTGGTACCAGAAATCGAACTCGGGACCTAGCATTTGCCAAGCAGGTGCTGTGCCGCTGAGCTAAATCCCCAGCCCATTGTCTCATAAATATCTGGTATATCTAGTGACATCTACTGTGTTGAGTCAGTTACAGAACCTGACGATGAACATAGCAAAATCACTTCTTTGATTAAACTTAGAGGGTGAGAGTGTGATAATACACAAACACATAAGCAAATAAAATCATTCCCAGACAAACGGTGGTAAGTGTTAGAGTTTCTGTATTTAATTTAAGGAGTGTACAAAGGATGGAGTGTGACACAGCTGGAGCTCAAGTACAGGGGCCAGTCAGAAAATGTCCTTTTGATGTGGTGACATCACAGCAGAAGCTTGGGAGGGATTGGATTGGATCCTGTGACTATTAGGGACAAGAGTATTCCACGAACAGGAGCATGCTGAGTGGATCTGTGTCTCTTGCCCATGTCACATAAGGTTTGCTGCAGTCATACATCAAAACAGAGTGCCATATTGATGCCAATGGTTTTCCCCAGTTTATATAGAGAAAGGAAATTTTTTTACATGAAGAGAGTCTAGATAGAATGTGACTACTCCAGAAAAGGCTAAGAGTGTATTTTTATACTGACTTATTAGAGCATGGCATGATATAGTGGGGAGAATTTGTCACTTATTATAGATTATAACAAAGCCTCTTAATAGTTAAGGTCTTAAGTCAAGGGTCATGTTACCATTTAGCTTTGAGGGTTACTTGGGCTGAGAGGCTGACTTATGGTGAGATGACAACCCAGGGTGAGTCATCCACAGGTCTCTGTCACCCATGTGACTAGATCACCTGGAGATGTTAGCACACCTACAGTGCAGCCTCTTCATGAAGCTTGAGCTTCCTTGTGGAATGGTGGCCAGATTCTAAGAAAGCAAGGTGTAAGTACAAGGAATTTTTATGACCTAAACTTGAGATTAAGTAGTGCCGGGGATATAGCTCAGTGGCACAAGTGCCTGCCTGGCAAAGTACAATCCTGAGTTTGATTCCCGGTACCAAAACAAACAAACAAACAAACAAAAAACAGTGATTCAGGTTTGCTTGGTTTTGGGGCTGGGGATTTAGCTCAGTGGCACAGCACTTGCCTGGCAAGTGTGAGGTCATGAGTTCAATTCCCAGTACCAGAAAAAAAAAACAAAAAACAAAAACAAAACAAAAAAAGTAGTGGCACTTCACCATGGTCACCAGTCCTTCCAGATTCAGTGGGAGGAAGGAGAGAATCCTCCTTAGTGGGAGGAGAACTAAGTACAGTAGAAAAGCTCATGGGATGGGCAAAGTTATTATTAGCATTGCACATAAGAAGTACTGGATTTTCTTCCTGTTGAAAGATGTTCAACATCATTAACTTTAGAGAAATACAAGTTAAAGCTAAAATGAGATATCATTACATACCTATAAGAATGGCTAAAATGAAAATCAGCAATAACTCATTGCTGGTAGGAATGTAACTGTCTAGAAGATAGTTTGGTTATTCCTTTCAAAAGTAAGCCATCATTACTGTAAAATAAAGAGTTAAGAAAATGACAGTGAATTGCTTAGGCTTAAATGAAAAAAAATCTTTTTCCTTCAAAAATGAATAAGGAATTTATTTATATCAACTAAAAGTAAATTATCCACTAGTTGTCTATGCCATACTAATTTTTAATGAGTCACTAATTTGAGCAACCAAGGTAAATGTGGTAGCTGAGGTTTAAAATCTTCTTGTAAAGTGGTTGAAGAATTACTTACATCATTTATGTAAAGCCCACTGAACTACACCAGTCAGAAGGTAGATGCTCAGTCAAAAAGCATCCTGTGTGCCCTGGTAATATGAGTAGAATCATTACTATCTTTTCTTGGCCTGGGGCTTGCATTTGAGAGATGATACTTAGGAGCCACTAGCCAGGTAGTGCTTAACTTTTATTATCAAATTCAAGAGAGAGAGTGGAATTCAGACCCTGATCAACTAAGCCCAATGCATCTATTGGTAAGAAACACAGCTGAGCCCAGTCTGGACAACTTAGCAACTTAACAAGACTTTGTCTCTAAACGAGAGAGAGAGAGAGAGAGAGAGAGAGAGAGAGAGAGAGAGAGAGAGAGAGATAGGGATCAGTGCAAGTAGTCTTTATATCTCTTGATGTTCCCCTCTCTCTCTAACAAATTGATTACCACACTTTAAAACTTAGGCAAGTTCACTTAATGTTTCTGTCTCTTTCCTTGGACAATCAAAGGGTCCAGCAACACTGCCTGAATTCACATGGCAGTCATGGAATTGCTGGGATGAGGTCATCTTATAGCACATAGCAGATGCTGTCGGGGCCCACCTGGATTTTCACAGCACGTCCTACTTCAGAGATAACCGACTCCGCCTCTAAATACCACCACCTGGGCCTCCACCTGGGGCCTTACTTTGGCCACTGGAGTGTGCTGTTATGGTGCAAGGCAGGGTCCGATTTCTGGAGAATGGATGTTCAACCATGCCAGGAGCAGCCCTGAAACATGTGCTGAGTGTTAGAGTGTAAATATCCCAGTTTCTTCTCTCTCTTTTTTTTTTTTTTTTTTTTTTGGGTTTTCTCCAGTACCGGAAACCGAACTCACGACCTTGCGCTTGCCAGGCAGGTGCTTTTAGCCG